AATGGAGGTGGATAGGAATTAGTACATGTTCTTTTTGGCCGGTTTTAGGCATCACATTATTAAATGAATTAGCTAATTATTTTAGTAGTTATCATTTTATGTAAACGTTCCCTAAATAGCATCAGCAGATGGCAGGATGCATAATGTCTACTGAACAATATATCCCCCTGTGGTGAATAATGCACATAAGCACTCTACAATAGTTTCACGATCTTATTGCAAGCTGTGCGTAATTCTGTATCTCATGAAAACATGTCTTTCTGTTTTCACTGAAATGTTTGTTCTGGTTGCATATATGAAATCAAATCAGAAATATTATCTTGCACATCTGTAGAGAACTCTCATTTTTTAAAGGGACATTGCTCACGTAGAACAGACCATGAATGCACTTCAAAAAAAATAGAACAAGAGTTTCAACCCTCTCTCCACTCCAATGTCATGCCTGAATCAAATTTGAATGAATGGGATTGCTGCAGAAAATGGAGAGCAGGGGGGAAAAAGCATTCTTCCTACCTACTCACACTGCTCTACAGATGCTACTGCACCACTGATACTTAGGTCTCACTCTTACCCTCATCTTCGCTCTGTCCCAAAACTGAGTGACTGCACTCCTTAAATAGACTCAATGCTTTGAGTCTCCTCTTTTGCCCACCTCTTTTCTACCTTGGAGAACTCAGCTACAGTAGAGTCTCCCATATTTACCTTTGGCATTATTTCCCCCTTGTTTCACCCCTCCCTTCCCTTCTTTAACCTCTATTTCCACCTATTTACATGCTGTGTAAATTTACACTCTCTGCCCTGCTACTGCTACCCCAGGAATGGCATAATGCCATGTGCCTGGGAGCAATACATTTCAGCATGAACTGCAGCAGAGTTTACTGCATCAAATTAATTTCACATGTAGACATACCCACTTACATGTAGTACAAACTATGTATGATATTAATCCAAAGCCAAAAAGCATGATTTACCACAGTTCTTTGGGCTGGGCCCTGCCAGAGTCAGCAGCATTTCAAGCTCTGGTGACCCCATAACTGAGCGCTGCTTGGTATGTTTGTGTACTCCAGGTACCCACCCCTGACAAAGGATCCATGTGCTAATTATCCCCCCACTCATTACTGTAAAGAGGTGTTCTTGTCATGAATCCTGGGATTGTCCAAAATAAATATGCAAATAAGGTGCAGGGCAGCTTCATGGAGGGTGGGGCCATGCTAAACACAGGCTGAGAAAGGGGGTGAGAGGGATTCTGTGTGAATTGTTTGGACCCAGTTTGGTGATGTTTGCCAAACATTTAACGCTGGCAAAGAAACAGGAATCATTGGAAATGGAAAAAAGGAATAGCTCAGCTATGGGAGCAAAGAGGAAGTAGTTTGTTTTGGTTTGTTTTCTTTTGAGTTGCTCTTGTTTTCACCTTTCTCTGAAGCAGCAAAATGTTAGCTCCAGCTAAGGCTGGTGAGTTTTGACCAAGGTATTCTAGTGTTCTGGCCAGACTTAGAAAACTCTGAGGGTCCTTAGAAGAGGGTGTTGTGATTCCAGTTAGAATGGTACTGAACACTTAGGGAAATTTTCTCCTAGGTCATATTGGCTTTCTCTTAGGGTCCTCTGAGCATATACTAACCCATTACCTTTCTGTCATTTCAGTAGATAATGTAGAAGGATATTCTTAGGGCTTCTGTTTTGTGATTAGTAGTTGTGAGCAAGGTTTCAAGTGCTGGTTTTGGGGAATTCTTACCTTTGCTAAATATTTGCATGCAGATTCAGAGGACTAGACTCAATGTCCCAGAAAGCCCACTCCAGTCTTATGTTTCTAACTGGAGTGCCCTGAAATTCATATCCAATTTTATCAGTAGATAGTTAAAAATGGTTCTTAGGCCAATCTATTTTGGCTTCAGAAAATAAGTTCAGAACTTCAATTTTTAATGAATGTTAGAGACAGCAGTTATATAAAATGTCACTATAAGGAACATGGCAAATTCATGCAGCTACCTTCTTCTTTTTAAGGATTTGGGCATGGTTTTGGTTGGGGAAGAGGAGAATGCTCATTTTTCTTAAGTGAGCTCGTAAGAATTTACTGCAACTTATCTCACTGTTTCTTCCACCTACACAGCTGTTGGGAGAACAAAAGCAGGTCAACCATTCACAAATGCCATGAATAGCGGCACTGTGCAATTTGCTGTTTTTTAAAATATCAATGATTAAGTGATGTGAGAATAGTAAAACTCTTTATGGAACTGTGCTCTTTGATAACAAAAACATTGCTGTGAACCCCACCACCTTGGCAAACAGCTTCATTTTATTTGTAAGGCAAAGTGGAAGACAACGGATGCATCAGCTTAGCAACAGCCCTTTGGTAGCTTGTAGCTTGCTGAGGAACATCGCTAGTGATACTGAACTCTCGTTCCTTAAATACTAAGTTATTTTGATGAACTAAGCCAATGAGCTATGAGCCCTCAGATTAATCATAGCAATTAAAAAAAATCATAGCAATTAAAGAAAAAAACCTGTGGTACTGCAAATTTCTTACACATTATCAGGGTGATGTGTGCAGGTCTGATGTAATTAGATCCAAAGAGAGTGTATTGAGATATGAAAAGATTTAATTCCCTAC